ACAACGCGACAGCAGCATCTTCCATTGGAGCACCCACAGAGCTCAGAGTATTAAGTTAAAAGTCTGTTTTTGTTGCCATTAGTCTTTAAAAGTATGTTTGATCATTTGAAGGAAGAACATTATACTTTTAAGTGTTACTATATGGCCCATATTTAGTGTGTAATAAAAAATAATTCCGCTGTTTAGAGGACTGTGGCAACCAGTGGACCTCCGAGTCTAACCACAGCCAGGGCTAACCTTAGTCCGTCTGTAGCAGCCCCCTCTCGGCATAGCCGTGTGTGAAGTACTGCTGGCTCTGATGGAGGCTTTTATGTTTTATTTTGCAACAATTTCATTTGATTTATGTTTATGTGATTATGTTAATCATTATTACCCCCCTTAATGAAAAAAGGAGGAATTCATATTATCTAGAGACTATTAATAACACGAGGTGAATGGTAGCACTAGACAAGCCAAGCAGGTGGTGACATCACCAGTATTTTTCTGTTCCATTCCACCCATATTTATGTTGCGTGCTCCCATTCTCCCAGAGTCCACATTTTCCTGTGTTCTTATCAAGAACATACTTGAGTCCGTACTCACGTTCTTGTGAATTGAGAAACTGCCAAAGTCTTCTTTTTTTAACTGAACATTTATGTATATAAGCTGCACCGAGCTATAAGTCGCTGATATGTACTGAACTTTCCCCCACCAAACCCGTAGGGGGAGCTCTATACATCCCCCCTAGATTAGGGATTAAGAAGAATGCTAGCTCCCGTTAGCTTGTTGGCATCAGTAAGAGCTTCTAATGAAAGATGGGGCTTCGTCAGCTCTTTATTTCAGCTCTACAGGAGTTGTGCAACTTCTCTTCATAGGTTCAAAAATTTTTATTGGGCAAATAAATGTTAAAATGTTTGACTTAGGGACATTTTTGTTATCTGTCGTGCCCGCCGCTAGCATAAGCTTGTGTTAAAGGAAAATTAGACCTTTCTTTGATTTTTCTTTGATTTCCGCACCCTGGTAGTTTAAGAAAAATCCACTGAAAAGCCGCACCTTCACATAAACCACAGGGTTCAAAGCGTGGAAAAAAAGTTACAGCTCATAGTCCGGAAAATACGTTATGTATTAGATAAATAAATGTAACATTTACTCATTTCATGATAAACATATTCATTTCAGTCAGATTTATGTCTTTATATTATATACCGGTATATCTAGACCTCCCGATATACCTCAGGGATGACACTAATGATCTTCTGATAACTGGCGGTCCTAAACCCCACCTCGGGAAACCCGCCATAGATTCCTTGGGTAATTACCTCGTAATCCCTGACATGTCTACAGCCTTTCTCTGTCTTCCTGATTCTATTTTCTGTTTTTCGTCTTTTTTTTTTTTTTCCTAAATGGGTTTTCTTTAATTTTCCATGAGGCACTTTGGTTTGCCACGCATGTACAGATGGTGCTGCACAAATAAACGTACTTTGCTCCCTAACAAATCTCAGAGGCCATATGAAAAAAACAAAAACAACTGTATCTAATGAATAAAGTGTGAATTCTGGACCCAATTTCTAGCCAGTACTACAATATTTTCACCAACAGTATTCTATAAAATACCCACCTGTTCCGAATGGTTCAGTTCCATTCTCCATCTCAAAGGGGAATGGTTCTACTACAGTGTTGACATCCCCTACAACGGGAAGAGGCATTAATTTATAGAAATAAGAAACCATGTGGAACAACAAATGAAGAAGGAAAAATTTTACCAGGACAAGGCTCCAGGTCACACTTTGAAGCTTCTGTCAGCATGCAGGAGTAGCCACAGGATTTAGTCCTCTTCCTTTCACCGTGTCCACATGTCACCGAGCACGGTGACCAAGGAGTCCATTCATCAGTGTCTTTCTCTGCAGGAGAGAAAACAAATCCAAATTCACCACCGACTCAAACTCAGAGTAATCTCTTGTGATTTGGTTCTGGTAGATCAAAGCAAGCTAAGCACTCTTTGATTAGATCAGTGTAAAAACAGAGCGAACCCCCCCCCACCCACAAAAAGTTTTGTTTTGACAAGAATTTGTGTACTTCAACGCTCTAATTCAGAACAAGTTTTCAAAGTTTCCTAAACGTCCTAGTCTATACACACACAACTATTTTCTCTTGGTTCAACCTTTCCCATGCAACCATTTGCTCCTTTTTAAGCAGACTTCAGTGAAATTAGAGGGAGAGAGGTTGTGCTGTGGCTGTCCGCCTCCGCACCATATTTCCTTGTGGTGTTAATAACACTGAAAAACAAGTCATTCCTGATTAAAGACGAGGTGGGTGCAGAAATACCAGCCTGGGTGTAGCATGCACCCAATTTGACTCTGTGGGCAACGCCAGCTCTCCATGTGGCCATAGGGGCATGAGTTCTCAGGAAGGTTGTAATTACAGATCGAGCTAAGGTTGGCACCCTTAATTTATGTTCACAAAGTCTTTAGATGTGACCATTGGAGTTGCATTGTTGCCCTTAACTGATTCTTCTATAAACACAACAGTGACAGAGATTGAAACATCTGTAATGGCTTAATGGATAAGGAAACAGATTAGATTTAACCCAGACTGCTTGGCATAGTCACCTGCTGAATTTCTCTCATCTATAAAAATACTTGGATCTATGAGGGGGAGCTACACAATGCTATTTGGTCTCTGAATATGGGATTCTCCTCCCTTTATCAAACTCTGGCATTGTGCACCTCGCTGCGCTTCCTCTCATTATTTTTACTATTTTTATCCCTGGGTAAGTTGTCTGTGAAAACTGAGACACAACACAAGTTATGCGGTGCCCTCACAGCCTCGCAAATTCTTGAACTCGCTCAAAAGACTGCGCCGCGCAGGACAGTGAGGGCGTAAAGGGGAGGGGGCCCATGGGGTCCCAGTGAGGGATGAAAGAGCCGGCCAAATGGTCTCTGCCATTCCGTGTTCCCAATCTGCCCTCTAATTGTTCACAAGCAGAGGGATGTTTTGTCCCAGAGAACAGTGACGGCCTCACGCTGCTATTAGTGAGCCCATCAGAGCCGTCTTCAAAGGGCGGGCCTCTGAGACCGGCACGACAGTGTCGACTTCAAAGCATCCGTAACCCACAGTGTCCTCATGGTCGAGTGCTTATGCTTCCTCGTATGCTGGCATCATTTGGCTCTCTCCAAAAGTTAGACCTAAATAAGCCATGGAGTTGTTCTTCAGCATCTTTATCACATAGCTATGTCAGCTTAATTCGTTTAAAATTCATCTATTAAACCGTATTGATTATTTAGTTGTGGTTTGCTAATGGATCTAACGTGTCATTACCATAGTAGCTTTCCATGGGATCGAAACCATTCCAGCGAGTATCCCAGTCTCCCCCAACTCCACTGAGTAAGAGCTCTTCACTCCCATAATCCACAGAGTAATCATCCTCCCCTTCCTCTTCCCCAGTTTCGTCTGTGCTTGACCGACTGTTGATTTCCTCACTGGAATCGGTGTAGCTCCAAAACAGGGGCCAGAAGAGCTTCTTGCCTCCGATCAAATCCACTGTGGAGGAAGGAGACGAAGAAGAAGGTAGCCAATCTTTTTCATTGGCCAGGTCCATCTCTACCTCCATCTGAGGGTCGTCGACTACTTCTATAGTAACCTGGGCAGAACAAGGGAGATCTGTCAAATAAACAGACAGCTAAAGATCCTGTCTCATCCTAAACATTGCTTGGTGGAAGAATAGTTTTTCTTATCGAGCACTTGTTAGTAGTCCAGAGATGATTGTTTTTCAAAGAAAACTGTTAGGTCGAGAGATATCATTAATATCACAATCTCCTTGTAAAGTCCCTATAGGTTAAAGATCCTGCTGCAACGTCTGGGATTTCCAGAAAGCTGCTAATTTCAACACCAAACTTCTTTCACGAGAAATAGGAACAACTTTGCAGCACTCCATATATCCTTTTTTTCTGACATTGTCTCTCTTATCTAGCAGAAAATGCTAAATGAGGCCCCAACTGATCCTACTTAAACACAGCAATGGCTTTAACTACAATATAGAGTATTGTTTTCAACATCATGTGTATAGTAGGCTTATTCATAAAAAAAAAAAAAACAATTGGAGAGTTTCTGACTAGTTGCTCTCCAAAAACCAAAGGTTTTGCATAAAAAATATTTCTATGATTAAACATATTTACAAAAGTTAAGTTAAACAATGTATTTATGAAAATTAAAAGCCATATTATCATATCAGTGACAACCTCTAATCAGAAACTGTGCTAGATGACTGTGCTAATGACTGACTCCTTCTATAGATGTGAGTCAGGCAGTGAGCATGAGCATTCAGTAGATCAAACAAATAACTCTCTGAGGGAATTAGGAAACCTTCATGCTAGATAAATACCTCTCATTTCCTCAAGATGACTCACCCTGGATGCAACATTTCCCAAAGCCTAATTTAGTTGATTTTAAGCTCAGATATTCATCAGACCAAAAAGAAAAAAAAAACTAGAAAATGAATTACCGTGTACAAATTGCCGTTTGAAACGTCTGAATGGTAAATGACAGCTCATAAAAATGCAATTGTTGACAATGGGGAGTTAGTATACGCCCAAGGGGAGAAGGTTCCCAGCTTTTCAGAGACATTTTGACATTCTAAGATGCGGTATGAAAGATGACAAGGGCTCATAATGTTGTCGCTGACCAGTTTAGGCCTAAATTGGTATGAGCACATCCCTGAATACATTCACTAGGGTTTGAGAGAATAACTTTGTTGAAAAGTGTAATGATGATATGATTACTCCGTCATCTTTCTTTACATTTTTATTAAATAAAGCTGCAAAAGGAAATATATCTGATTTAGACTTTATTTATGGGTGTTACTCAAACTTTTCCTTAAAGTGTGTTTTCCCCTCTATCGACTTGCCTGTATGTTGGGGTTCTGTGAGTTAATGTCAGCGTTGGTCAGGTCTGGAAAGTTGTTTAGGTCCAAAATAAAAGGCTTGGTCTCTTCCTCGGGCTCGGGCTGTGGGAGAACACCTACAGAGCGATGTTGGGGGTGAGACCACCTCCTCTGGTGGCTGTGAGGCTCAGGAAGTATGGTCTGGACCTGGTTCTGCTGCTCCTCAGAAACATGCTGGATCCCAGCAACGTGAACTGGATTGCCATGAATCTGTTAATAAAATACAAAAACATTAACAGCAGATTGCATATATCCCTACATCCTTTTGAAATGTCATCATATATGTATGGATATCACTCGGATTTTTATTTGATTAAATGAACACAGAATTGTGAATGGTTGGATTTATTTTTCTACTAAAACATTTTCAAAAATGTAAAAATCAAGCGTAAAATGAATATAGAGGAACCAGTGACTTCATAAATTTCCTGAATAGTAAATAGAGTGTGTTTAATTTCATCTCAGTTGTGCAATCTACAAATTGAGCTGTAGTACTTCTGTAAAACATGGACTGCACATAAACCTAAGAGAAACATCCCTGTTTAAAACATGGTGTTGGTGGCATCATTCTGAAGTGCTAATTCTTAAGCAGGTACAGGGATGCTTCTGAGACTAATGGATAGAGGAAAACCTGAAAGAAAAGGTGCTAACATACCTAACTTAAGATAAGAAGTCCATTTTCCTGCAGGACAGTTACCCTACTTTACAAATGTTGCACTGCACAGATGTGTAATGTTGGTGGAGATAACTCATTCCTTTCCTACTGTAACTGCAGTGCAAGATAATACAAAATATTGACTCATGGGGCATAATGGTGATCCAATACAGCTACTGTAGTACTTCTTTATATAAACAACCACCATTCTTCATTTCCTAGCACGGTCAGCAATTTGTAAAGGACCTGAGGTATTCATGTTCCTAGCCAAGCGATCAACAAGAATTTGTTTCTTTTTTCTTCCAACAGTCATGGAATCCAGGCTGTAGACAAAGGGGGTCCTGTGCCGTCGAGATCCTCTTTTAGCTTTAATTAGAGGGCCCGGGAGGCGTGGGACTCCTGAGCTGATGCAAGGGTGTCTGAACCTGCTGGGCTGCTGTATTTATTCACCCACTGCATGTGACCGCTCAGTAGCCAAATAAGAAATGTGAAGACAGCTAGAAAAATGGCAAATAAATCCACTGCATCTTGGTTCAGCTGGCGTGTTTCTCCCCTAAGCTGCAGCCTCTACCCATCTTTATATGCCATGTGCTACACTGTGTCCTCAGGAAAGATTGGACAAGAGTGTACAACTGGACATGAGCCAGCTTGTGGTCTGCCAAGTAAAACACAGACAGTTAGAAGAGGAGGAGAATTGTCTGCATACATGACCAGTAAGCTGAGGACTTCTAGCTATGACCTCCAAAAATGGATATATATTTTAAATGCCTGAGATTGACTTAGAAAGAACTGATGTAAGTGGTCAGGAGGAGTACAGACACATTAAGCAACAAAGCTGGTACCTCAGCCAAGGCATGAGAAGGGATGAAGTCAGCCTCTTTCCTCAAGTCTAAAGTCATGTTTACAAACAGTTTAAGACCATTTTGCCTCTTTACCTTCAATCCATTGCCGGGAAATCAAATGAATCCAATAAATCCAAAGTAAGCACCTCAAAATCTCATAAAAGTGGAGTCATAAAACAGCCCAGATAAAAGTAGATTTGAAAAATGGCAGTCCTTTAACAATATGTTGAAACACTTAGCCACGTTCAAAGATGAAGCTACATTTTTAGATATTTTGCTAATAGAACTACTGCTATAAGGCCATGGTGTTTGTAGCTAAAAGGAAAGATGGATGCCTTGGAGAGTGCTGAGAAATTGAATTGTGTTGCTTCTTGGACAAAAACTTCAACCTTCTGTCTGGTTTAATTGTTTAATATTATGTCTTTGGATTTTTGGTGTTATTTAAACCATGCGACTGTGATTTTGGACTGAACCTTTAAAGATTGGGGCAAAAATTACTGCCGTTCCCTGAAGCAAAAATTAACTATTGATATGAAAAGAATTGCACTGCTTTCTATCTGAACATGAAGCTCTAGCCTCTGTCCCCCCCCCTGCTGCGTGTCTGGTGACACCATCACACTGAGTTAGCACTGATGATGTCACCAGTGCGACAGAAATCAGGAAAGTAAACAATGGAGAGCAAGATGTAAGGAAGCCAGGGAATAGTAAGTGTGCTTTATTGTTTTGCTCTTTTGTCCCTCCAAAACCCTCTCACTAGTGCTGCACCATGTTTATTTAATGTAAAAAGAGTTGTTTCAGCTTGTTAGATCAGAAGCGACTGGTGTGTTGACGTACGTTGCGTTCAACGCGGGTTGCTTGCCAAGTCGTTTGACCCGGGTAGACACGCATCAGTGAGCTTTTCCCACTGCCACTAAATGCAAAATGTTCCCAGGTTTAAACGTGTTTTTCGGCCAGTGGGAAAGGGGTGTTAGTTTCTGAATTAGATTGAAGAGTTTCTCACAAGGCTCAGGCTATTATGTATCTGAGTTTAGACTGCATTTAAGCAGTACATATGAGTTCTAGGGTTAAACTTAAACTTCCGAACTACGTTGACTTGACTTGAATAGATCAATATATGGCTTGAGCTGTCCTGACCAGTAAGCTGTTGGATAGAAACTACAAAAACAAAATCAGAAACATTCCTCTTAGTTTCTGAGTTCTGTCAGGTCACACTAACAACACTCTTCAGTGTAGCACTTGTGAATGAGGGAAGAAGAATCCATATTATATATTTTCCCTTATGTGCTGAAATATAAAATCAAAGAGGGCACAGAACATAAAGGGAGAAATCCTAGTTTGCATTTTCTACAGAATGATGTTACCAGTTCATTCAGGTCGCTGTTTGTAAATGACTTTTTCCAGGAACAAAAACTTAGACTTAGATTTATTTTGCTCAAGAGGAGTTGTTAAAGAGTTCTTTAAAACATGATATCAATTCATGCTGTCTCTTTAATCAGCAAAGGGCCAAATTGACCCAAAGCTGATACCTCTACATGTTAGAGCAAAGCTGTTTTTATTCTTTTAAGATTCCAACTTCTGTCTTTTATGGGGAATGCTTTATTTGTAAATTCCCTAGATTCCCTGGTGAATACACAAAAAGATTTATGTCTAGAGTTAATAACACTAACCATGCTAATGAAGCTATTCACAAATGTGGGATGCTAAAGACAGTTGATGAGGTCAGTTCTCTTATTGTGTTTTGACTGATCAAAATCCTGTTAAAACTTCTTTCAGTCTAATACAAAGTGGAGTTTACTGTCTGTTTCAATTAGAACCAAAAATAATAAGCAGAAGAAATATTTTCAAAATGTTATTTATAAGTTGGAATCAGATGAAACTATTTTTCCAAAGGTCAAACTTTATTTAAACTACAGCCGGAAAATGGCCTCTAAATCCTTGATCAATGCTTATCTAATGTTCAATACATTTATATCTGGGTTAAACAAAGAAATAGCTGGTTCACCTAAAATACCCATAAAGAAGATGTCCATTGACATAAAATATTTATGAGTAATTCAAGTGGTGCTTTAAGCTTAAATTCAAATAACTTCAAAGACCTGTTGCCGTTCTCAAATCCACATAATACTGTTTGTATGATGTTATATCGTAAGCCTGGTTCATGATTTAACGTTGTAAATACCTTTTGACCCTGTACCTGGATAAAGTGTGATGGATCAGACCAGGCTCACCTAATACTCTCATATATCCAGCAGACCAACACAGTCCAGAGCTATGAAAGAGGCTACATACTTTCACACCCTCCTCATCTCGTGTTGTTTCACATCTGGATCTTGTATTCCTTCAGCCTGTATATCACTCTCCTCCTCTTTTCTTCCTCCCCCTTGTTCTCTCTGATCCTGCTCTCCTCCTTACTTGGTAGTGGGGCTCCCCTGATCAAAGGCCCTGTGGCTGATGGCACGCAGCGTGTTTAACAAGGAGACTGCATAGAAGCATAGGGGTACATTAGTCTTGACCTGGAGACTGCAGTCTCTTCCCAGAGAGCCACACTTGAAGATAAGCAGATAGTGCTGCCTTGAAGTAATTTAGAAGATTAGACCAAGTTAGGGCTACTGCCATTGCTACTGCCATTGCTACTGCCATTGCTACTGCTGACAATGAAAAACATTCAGGTTAAGAGGTTTAGGTCGGAAGGCTGTGTGATGCCAGCGGGGCGCTGCAGTAGGGATGAGATCCGGAAGGACTGTTGGGAATGCTGGGAAGGCACGCAGAGTGGCAGGCCTGATTTATGTGTGCGCAGAAATCAAAGGGCCCTGCACTTGGCTGTTTCCAAACCATTGCAGCAGAACAATAAACTATGGATGCTCTTTGATCGGCATCTTTTTCAAATAGAAACAGGACAGCAAATGCACGCTCAGAGGAACTGGGGTGATCCCGTGGAGCCTGGGGGTACAAACAGAGAGTAAACAGAGCAAACAGGTCCTGATCTTTGGGAAACGGGTCACTTCAACACAAGCATCCTCTTTCTCTACTTTGAAGCGAGATGGGGGTAAAACCCCAAAACAGGAAATTCCACATTAACACAAAAAAGAGCCAACGTAAACAACCAGATGAATGACACTTGACCTGAGCCTCGGTATGGGAGATGATAAAAGCCGCCTTATTCCGGTTACATAAGCATGAAGTTACTCTGGTGAAATTAGCTTCCTGCTTCTCCTCCTCATGTGTCTTAGCCTAAACCCTGTGGGTCACAAGCACAGGTAGGGTGTCATCTGCCCCAAACTGCTGGAGACAGCAATAACCCGTCACACACTCTTCAGTGAAGAATTTTTTTTTTTAACTCTCTTCTTTTCCTTCCTTCTGTTTTTCCTTCTGCCTCTTTATGCTTTTCACATCAATCAGACAGATGATGAGAGAGAAAGTCCCAACAGGGCATCAACAGGAGGCCACACAAGATGGAGAGTTCAAAGACAAAAACTGAACCCTAACACACACTCACACACATTCAAACAGACTTTGATTTCCAAATATGTCTCCATGTAACACAAACATTCCTCTTAGATAGAAACAACACACACACACACTGCGCAGCGTGCTGAGCTACGCACTGAGTTTGGATTTATGATAGTGGGGTGTATGCCCAGCCGTGACAAGCGCTACTATACATGGAAAAAGAAGCGGAGTCAAACACAGCAGCATGAGCTAAGCTGAAAGGGAGAAATTACTCACTTAAATATTTTGTAAAGATAAATTATGATTTAGATTCATTACCAGAATCAAAATTACAATGTCATGTTCATTCAAAAAGGAAAATATATATTTTTTCTATTCTGTGCAGAAATCCTACTGTATTTAGATTAATTAGGGACTTATGTTGCTTTTGCTCAGCACTTTTAGTGGAAAATAAAATAAAACAGAGTTGGCCCGATATATATCACTACACTATACAGATCACACACCAGGTGAGGTCCCCGAAAGGCAATAAAATGATTAAATCAACTTAGGAGTAACTCGTGAGATTCATAAAAGGGAAATTTTTTTTTAGAACTTTAATCAAAATAGCTTTTGAGCTTTTAAAATTCATACTTCACACAAAGTCATGGATTAGATGTGAAGTAGCATAGCACATGTTCCAGAGTTTTTGCAGACACCCGCCCCCTCTGGTGAAAAGTGGAATTGACACCAGTGTTGTGTACAGGCATCGAAGAGAAGGGCAACGACCTCCTTGTTGAAAACTTCCCCAATATTTACCCCTATACTATTCTGTTCCTGATCAAACACCAATTTGGCCATTTTTGTAGCATTAGCCAAGAGTTTTATATTATTAATCTTGTGTGAATTCTGTGATGGGGTTTGAGGAGAACTTGTGCCTGCCTTTGGCAACGTTCACACCGCAGCCTGAAGTGACCCAAATCTGATTTTTTTGCCCATATGCAACCTTTATCTGATCTTTTCATGGCTGTCTGAACAACACAGATCCAATTTTTTCCAATGCGACCCAGGCCACTTGGCGTTATGGTCCTGAATCGGATCTTTTCAAACGCAACCCGTGTCTGAACAGACAGGTTGCATCCATCCGACCTGAATGTCATTAACACCCAAAAGTGGTCACCCTTCTGCTTCTTGCTACCAAGAAGTTGCAAGAAAAACAACAATGGTGGACGATAACGCAGAGAGTAGTGTTTATGTTTAACCATCTTGGAAAGATTGAGTTTTTAAGGTTCGGAAAGATCGCTAGACAAGCTCCAGCACAACCACCCATGTTGACTTCCGTAAACACAGAGCACACTTGTTTGTGATGTAATTGCATCCTCTACTGCGCATGCGAGACACTTAAATTGGATGAATGCAGTTCACACAGGAGATCACATACAAGTCGCATATATTTGGAAATGTGAACAGCAACGCAAAAAAATCCGATTTCACAAAAAAATCGGAATTGAGCATCAATACCTGCAGTGTGAACATAGCCTTTGATAATCCATCTTAACAAACTGTTGAACTTGTTCTCTTCCCTGCAACAGACTCCATAAAGTAGCCAAGTGAATGAGACCATGCAGCATGTCAAATCTACTCACCCACCCAGTCACTCTCTCATTATTTAACCAATCACACCTATAGAGGCAATAGAGGTAAACTAATCTTACATATTGGCGAAAGGGCGGATTATACTTCTGCATCCGCACACATCAAATGTCGCTTGCGTCTGGTCGTGAACCAGTTTTGCTGGTATGCTTCTGCAACGTCTGTCTGGAAATTCTAGGGACACGCAGCAGTTTCCCACTAAAGCACAAGGGGGAGCCCATTTGAGAACTTGCGAGAACTTCGGCAGATGGTAGCGAGAACTTCGGCAGCACCGGTGGGAGTGTTTATTTTTCAAAACAACATATCTGAGGAATCGTACAAGTGGTTGTACTTCCGAACCTCCTTGATCAACCTTTCGTTGTCGTTAATCCATTGTTGTTATTACTCCTTGAGTTTTTAATCAATCAGTCACAGCTGCTTTTTGCCTGCGCACTTCCGCTCGAGGTCTGCGCTGGTTTACTACCGTCCGACGTGTAGTCACGATTTTTTTGGAGGTGCGCGACAATGGTTGCAGCGTCTCTGTGCAGGGGCGTGGTCGCGCAAAGAGACAGACTTTACGGCTGCAGAGGCTATGCGTCAGGAGCATAAATTGGCCTTAATTGTAAGGACATGTACAAGTAAGAAAAAAACTACCTTTAAAATTTGCTCAATTCACCTTTAAAATGCACATATTCTGATTTGCTTTTATTGGTCTTTTTATGCTGGTCTAATTTCAGCTATTTATATGGTTAAGAGTTGTATTTACATTTGTCCGGCTGTGACAATGCAGCTATAGATGTTTTATTAAAAGACAGATATTTTAAATGCTGTTAAACATCACATGTCTTTATTACAATGAGTTCAGTCAGTTATCATCAATTCCTGTTCAGAGGGTCCCAAAATCAGCTGCTGTTTGAGGCCCAATATAATCTTGGACCGGCTCTGGAATAACAGACTCACTTTATTTATTACTTCTATCTACAATGTTAGCTTTTAAAGTGCAATTACGCGCTGAGCTTTGTTGTAAGGCCAAAAAAAAAAAAAAAATCAAATAATAAACTTTTAATTTTAATAAAGATATTTTATTAATCAATAATGGTAGGTTAATAAAAGGTGTCTTACTTTATGTGTGAAGCTCTTGCGTTTTGTTGGAAATCCCGCTCCCAAACTGTAGAGGAGAATGGAGCAAAGCGCGAGCAGCATCTGAAATCTCCTCGCGACCTCTCCACGCATCTTCTCTGTTCCCTTTGAAGTTCTTAAAAACAAATAAAAACTTTTCTCTGGTTAGCTCTGGATATGAGGCAGCTTCTTGGTTTAGGAGAAACTCTCTTCAAACTCTTGTTCTGTCTCAGACTTTAGCTCTGAACAGATGCAGTTTTGAAGTATCGAAGCTCTTTATGAAGATGCGCACCAGCCGCGTGCTCGGGCATCCCACGCGCTCTCTGATGCACCAGAGGCTCGCGCAGCAGCAGCAGCTGTTGGTCCGTTCGGCGTCGCGAGCTCCACGCTCCTCTTCCCCATAAAAACCGCTGCAGCAGCAGGGGCTTTAAGTACCCGAGAGAGTGTAACAGGAGTGTAACACCCCACGCCGAATCTCCCAGTCCGCACCGGCGCACGCTTATTCAGCTGCTTTAAACTGTGACTCACTCCTCGTCAGTAAGAATGTTTTCTTCCAATACACTGACATCTGGGCTTTCTGGTTATCTATCTGATGCGTTAATCTGGTATCAAGACAAGGTTGATCCGACGGTTTTACAGCACGTTAGTTTGTGCGCGTCCTGCCCAGCCAAACGGGTTCAGCAAACTTGCCTCTTTTACGCACGCATTTAGAGGTTTCACGCTGTGGGAGTTGGGGGTGGGATTGCTCACAGCTGTGTGGAGAGGGTGCAATGGGGCCATAGAAGAGCTTTACAAGGTGAAACTAAGAGTTTGTTCATAAAACCAAAAGCTAAAATCATCTGCATAGTATTTATACCCTATGTTTAACTTTTTGTCACTTTGCCACTAGCAGTTTTATATGTGAAAGACCATCAAGTGCGCCCTTATTGTAAAGTGGGAGAAGGATATTGTTATCAAACTAACTTTTTATTTAATTCTGTGGTGTATATTTGTTTTCAGTCCCCTTTACTTCAGAATACCTGAAATAAACTAATTGCACTCAAAAAGATACCAACCTGTAAAATAGATCACGTGTGATTTCATCCCAGTACACAAAATTATGTCATTCTTATACATTTTTATAAGGTCCATATTTGTGTGACCATTTTTTCTATCTTTTTGCTGCTGTAAACACTAGAATTTACCCATGGGACAATAAATGGATTTTCTATTCTGTTCTATGGATGTCTAAGAGGTTAAAGAAGAATAAGAAAATTAGTGGATAGACAGCATTGTTATGACCAAGGAACATAGCAAACATTTCTGTATGAAATAGTTTAAAGCTAGGTTATGGTACAAATCAATATTCCCAAGCTTGAAGAATTGGAAAATCTGTTGAGAAGTCTGCCACAAATCAGATTTTATAAAAGCAGTTTTTTTCTGCTCACTATTTTCATGGTGAAACACGGCGGTGGCAGCATAAGGCTTTGGCAGAGGGAGTTTTTTTCTACTGTAATATGGAATGTGAATATAACTGATGGGACGGAGGGTGGAGCTATACATACAGATCAAGAAACGAAGACTCTTGAGCCATTCTTCAGCTATTAGATTACCTCTTGTAAAGAGTTTGATTATTTTAAAGGAGTTTTCAGACCACTCATAGCTATAATATGTCCAGATTATGTGGCACATATTACTACGTCTGCACAGTGCTTTACAATTGACATTAGTTGTTTGTGCTGACATGTACTTATAAAGAATAAAGGTTGTTCTTTATGGCTAAAGATCTCTATTTTGCTCTCCTTCATCCAGAGGGCATTGTTCCAGATATTTCAATGACTTTCTCAATTCTAAATAGCTCCTATTTATTTTTCTACTAGCCCAATGGAAGAAGAGTAAGGTTTAAAAGGTTGAGTGAGGCCCCTGGATTCTAAAATGCAACAATCTCAGAGCATTGTCTTTCCATATGGGGCATTTGGGGAGATGTTCATCAATCACAGGATTCATTAATACAAGAACATTATATGGCAGCCATAATTGCTTCCTGGGCATCATTGCTGATAATATTCCCTGTAAGCGTTATTTAAAAACACCAGCTTTTCTACTCTCTTGCTTTAAAAAATGACAGTAATCACACCATGTGTTTTTTTACATAAAGTTTATTTTAAACATTTTATTTTCAACTGTTGGTCATTTTTGTTACTTTGTGATGCAGGAAAACTCCAAGCTTAACATGTGTACTTTTGCAGGTCTAAGTGAATAATAAGGACTTTTCTTTTATTAGCCATTATAGCCCTTAAACCTTAAGTGCTGATGATTAACAGACAAAAAAATAAATAAATATAAATTATGGGTCGTGGCACAGTTTCTTAGCAGCATAATTAATCAACATCATGGCTTTACAGACCTTTTAACCAGTTTATCCTCAGCCTGAATGCAGTTCAGAAGAACCACATAGCTGATCGCTTTCCAATAGGTTACTGTACATATTGCATCTAAGGAGGTAAATATTACATTACATATAAGCTCATGTTGTCCATGTCTTTGAACATAGATTAGAGAAAAGCTTGGTCACAGAAAAATCCAAAATGTTTCATTTTTCTATTTTTTTGCCTATGCATGCAGAAATGCTGACGTGACACTAAAATGATAGAACACAAGTTTTATCAGTAAAATAAACTATTAGATATTTGCAAAATGGATACAAGAACATTGCAGAGCTCATATTAGAAATGTTTTCTCCGAATTAAAACTAAATTTCATTTAAAATTACTACTGAAGTGCTCCTTCAGGTCAAGCATCCTTCCCATCTGCTGTTATGACCTGCTGCAAATATAATTACATGTCAGACACCACTTTCTGACACCCAGTCTCTACTGTCCACCAGTCTCCACACGAAGCTGGTGGTGTGTTGACAGCTTCCTCATCGAGGCGGCGTAACCTTTCATTCCTTTCCTATGCCTTTCATAAACCTTGTAAATGATGCTTCCTTTTCTTTTACTATATTAATGTATCTTTTGAATAACTTGGAATAAATTTTTGCACAAATCCCCATATTGCAAACATGCAAAAACTCTAAAACCTAGTGCTGGAGCCTATGCCAGATAAACAAATAGGAACTCTTATGAGGAATTCTATCCAAAAGGTTGAAGGTGCAGACATTAAATAACTTTTTTCTAAAATGATTTTGGCCTTCCACTATAAGCTGTGTATTGCAGGCACCTGATCAATTAAAAAAACAATAATTCTCAGTGGAAACATTTCCCATTGCAAACTTCTGTAGCCAACTTGATTGCAAACATCCTGAGATGAAAATTCTTTCTTAGAGGGTTCATGTCTTCCACACTTTTTCCAAGTTAGTACTCAGACTAGTAAAAGATGAGGTTGGAATGAATCAGGCAATGATGCCATGATTTTATTACATATGATGAGGACAAAAAAATGGCAAAAGAAACAAAGCATTTGATGTTTGTTGAGTTTTATCATCCTTAACGCACACAACAGCAAGACAATAGACAACTTCCTGACCAACAACCACCACATTAAGTTGACATCAGTAGTGACAACATAAAACACAGAAATGCTTGACGGAGGACGGTGTACTAAAAGAAAGATCAAAATTATAACTATACACTGGCAGCAAGAATGATTATGGAATGCTGTTTCAGAGGATAATCATAAAATGTCAATTTTGGTGGAAAAAATAAATAAAAAAAACATTAAAGTATATATTTCTATGAATATCAAGAGAAACTATTACCGACGTCATCCAGGCTTTAAAAACGCCTCTCAGTGGTACAGAACAGATGCAAAGAAATGTAACTGATTAAAATATATAATCTCAACAGTAGCACGTTTCAGAGCTGCCTTTCAAAAACAAAAAGAATATGTATATTCTTTAAATAAATAAATTGTTCTGTACATCGGATGAGTTAGAAGCGCCATCGTCATGCATACAGATCAAAGTTACATGTCGCCATACTCGTGTCAGCCATTCACATAAAAAGCACTTTAGTGAGCAGAAACGGAAGAAAAAAAAATAAAATAGAAAACCACACATGTAGCCTATTACCTTATAGAAATGATAAAGACACTAGGCTCAAATGTTCGAGTGCAGGTGTAAACAGTAAATTAGGCTGCAGACCATTAATAGAAAATAACCGAGTAAAAAAATACGTTAGTCTTGCTCCTTGGAGTTCTTTCCCTCTGTTACGTTTTTTTCTTCTGGAAACATCTGTTTTGCATTTCAAGAGAAATGGTAAAAAATATATCTATACATATGTAACCTTTGGTTTGGGAAATCAAAAATAAAAGACTATTCAGTATTCTATAGTTAGTTCTATCAGATCCATACGCTTGGGGAACATTAGTAAAGAACGCCTCTGAGTTTTGGGATGCTAAATCAAAGGCCGTTAGCACAAAGACTGTGATACATAATCTGCAGTTATATCAGTGCTCAAAATAGAGCCCTGCTCATTCTGCTGTAGTATTCATGAAATCTCACATTTTTTATTGCACAATTAATAAAAATCTTCACTGTGCAGGTAGGATTAAGACATGGCGTGAAGGAAGGTGAGAGAGGCTCTGGAAACGGTGTGCAGCAAAATGGTGGATAATATTTTGGTGAGGCTGAATAAGCTGGATAGGTCAGAGAGTACAGTGCATGAGCGTCTCATAGAAGGAGGAAACAGAGAAGCTGAGTGGCGAGACTGGCTCCAAGGAAAACGAGTTATCAGACGAACGGATATAAAGGGATGTGGTGTACAGTGAGGCTAAAGGAGAGATGGAGCTGGTTCAGTCCTGAAGAAGGCTCTCTTCAGACATCCATCCCAGAGAGGAAAGAGGTTGTTCCCGTCTGGAGTACTTCAGCTGCAGCAGGTCCCCCACTTCACTAATGGCCTCCAGTGCCTTAAGAAAAAAAAAAGAAAAACAGGAAAAGGGGAGATTGATATTAATAACAATTCAAAGAGACCATTTGCTCCAGTCATACGCAGGTAAGGATGTTGTGACATGTTTGAGTGGGAAAGTAGAGGTGAGAGGTGAACAGAAGGCTCACTGTAATAAACAAAAACAGCATTGAACAAAAACTCCCCCACTCCTTCGCACCAAAGACCCTATCAGTATTGCAACACACTGCAGGGCACCTGGAAACAATTTACCTTCCTCCTGACCTTTTTTTTTTTTTCCCCGATTCCATGCTTTGAGGAACAGAGAGGGCTGGCTTTTCCCAAGACGGAAAAAGCAGCTCCTCAGCCTGCTTCACAAAAGCAGGCTGATCCCCATTAAATGGACGATTACAAATGGTGCTGATGTGCTTTTTGGACAGATAAATAAAGTGCCTTTTGAGAAATAAAGCAAGCTTATAAAAATCTAAGTCTGCGCTATGCAGTAATCCTAAAAAAGTCTGGCTTTCCAGATTTTTTACATAAAGGAGTTGGAGTACAAAAAACCCATTTTGGTAGAAACCAGTGACGGTGTGACCCAAACAAGCCAACTGTGAGGGGATCTATATTTTGCTATAGAAAAAGAATATATATATTACAACCAGTGATGATTTAAGGAGGCCCTATGAGCAGCTTTAAAGCAAAATGCATATAACTATTGTCATCACTGCCAAGAACTTCAGAAAAAAGAGCTTTAATTGTTTTTTGACTGATAAATTAAGAAGAGCTCACTTTAACATTCTGCTTTCATCATCTGAATTAAAAACATTTATC